TCATCATCTTATGGACCTCTTTGGTGGTGATCACAATCACCTCTGAAAACACATTACAAAACAAATATTCATAAGACATTATATACAGTAGATAATAAACAGTAAAAAGTTGATTTGATGGTTTTGACATTTTAAAAAGTAAAGTTCATGGGAAAAAAAAGAATCGTAAAACCAATGAACTTCCTCCCATATCATTTAATGAATGAAAAAGATCATCACGACCTATTGGATGAAACTAAATCTAGACTCTCGCATCCACAAAACTGTTAACATTGTATGCAAAAACAAAGATATTACTCCGTGCAAAGATGCCCAACAGCAAAGAGACTAGTCGTCATTAGATATCTACAGTTTTTGACTATGATGCATCCTAAACCTTAAAATCGAGCTAAGAGCACCACTCTGCTTTTTAATAAAGTAGACAATAACATTACTAGACCACTTTATGAATCGAAAACATTGCAGAGTCCGTCTGGTTTAATTAGCCTTGTCTGCATAAAATGTTTTCTACCAGGCATTTATTCACTCTAGCTGTGTCAGCCCAGTAAAACCAAATTGCAGGGCTTTGGCTAGCTGGCTGCACACAGTAAACTACTGGCCACACAGGATGATTATGTATAGAAAGCTAGTTTTATTTAGGCTAGTGTGGACCTACAGGATTTTATAACGAACAGCCCTGTTTACTGGCAAGAACAGCATACTACAACAAATCCCTTTATAAGCCCAGTGTTTCTGGACCCACTGCTTTCTGCAGCACAAGAGGCAAAAATCTGGACTGTAAATCTAGACAGGAAATGCACACCTGACAATGGCTGATGATGTGCTGACAAGCTGGTGAAAGTACGACTAGAAAAAGCAGCACAGTTGTAAATTAATACGTTTTTACACAGTGAAAGGAGCAACTTAATGTTGCTGGAGACAATCTGCAAGCGTATTCGCTATGCACTCACTATGGGTAGAATAAAGACTTACAGTTGGTCTTGTTATTCAAATGTAACAGCTTTGGTATAGGTGTACTCCAGTACCTGTTTCCTTTTTATTTCAGTTTGTTTAAAAACAGCTGATAACCTTAACTCATTTTAAACCCCATCAACTTAAGTCCAAATTTTGTAGTATCTCTTTTAGTACAACACTGGGAGCTGGCCAACAACTGCTTGTGTTTCAAACATGCACAGGCAAGTCGAGGAAATGTGACCTAACTGTAATTTATCCACGAGTACAGATATTATTTACGATATGGTTGTCTATGTTGTCTTGATACTAACATAAAAAAAAAACAAAAAAAACAAAACTTAGTTTGAGTGGGAGATGATCTTTTCTGCTTCAAGCTTCTCTTTCCACATTAATTCTAAAACAATGTTTGCACACTCTTTGTTCCAAGTTTTCCACGTGGGTCATATAAACTCACACACGAAGTACTGGCTGTATTTTTGCTTCTTTACATTTTATGTGGAAACTAACCAAGAATGCCAGTGCACTCCTGTAACACTTTCCACTTCTGCCAATTACACTTAGTTTATTCCAGGCCAACTCACCAAGAAATCAGAACTTTTCCCATTTCATGTCATGGATTTTCTGAAAAAATAAAAGTCTTGTAAAAACTTCTATTAAATTCAGGAGACCTTGCAAAATCCTATAGTTCCACTCCAAATACTGTCTTAGTTATGAATTTTTTGAAGTTTAAGTCAAAGTTTGGCCCTCAGAACTACATTCCATCATTTTTGTGATTCTTTGTGTATTCAAAGCCTCACCAGTCCCTTATTCTTCACTGGATTGGGTTGAAATCTGTATTGAACATCTAAGAAACCCTAAGGATAACCTGTAACATGTATTCATGTAAATAGCTGAATGTTTTACAGTATTTAAATTAATAAAAATAAATAATGTTTTACCTGAACGGACATTCAAAAATGAATATCTCCACTAGTTTTAAATTTCTTAAAAGCAGATTTTAATTCTGTGAAGTATTAATATAGGCGTTATTTGGTTCTGCATTCGAAACTCAGTGCCATAGATCTTGCTATATATAGCTTCAGGGCTAAAGAAAATATGCTTTAAGATATTTTCACAGTGATTTTTTTCCAAGAAGGATTATTGTGATTTCTTTAACACTTTTTTTATGGGAACATGCTAATATTCATTGCAGATATATAAAATATCCAAAGATGTTATTTTACTCCTTGATTATTTCATAATTTTTTGACATAGGTGTGTTTTACGCTGACTTGCGCTGTCTCTGTGGGATACTTATTGAACCTGTTTTTTCATTCGCAGGAAATGTGCCAGTTACAGCTCGTAACGGCTTGGTTTGTTGCATACTAGATAATGTCGTATTGTTCCATGTGTCTGGACAAAATATTGATCTAAGTTCCTCAGCTCAATACAATGAAAAAATATAAAGAATATAATATATTTATATATACACCTTGTTGTTCACTGTTGTTTATACACTGAACAAAAATATAAATGCAACACTTTTGTGAGATGAACTCAAAGATCTAAAACATTTTCTATATACACAAAATAACCATTTCTCTCAAATATTGTTCACAAATCTGTCTAAATCTGTGATAGTGAGCACTTCTCCTTTGCAGAGATAATCCATCCCACCTCACAGGTGTGGCATATCAAGATGCTGATTAGACAGCATGATTATTGCACAGGTGTGCAATATTATTTTTCATCTCATGAAAAATGGGAGCAAAAACAAAAGTGTTGCATTTATATTTTTGTTCAGTGTAATATATCCCCTTTTTTTTCTAAAAGGCCCTACACACTCACACAGGTGTTTTCATGTCTTATAGCGAATTAGACCTCTGCTCTGGTGGACAGTGGGTGGAACTATGCTAGAAATTACATGGGGTCACTTCAGATGTCCCATCCTGAAAGGTACAACAAAACTGAGGGGAGAGTGAGGTTGATGTTAATCAAGTCCACAGTGCACATGCAAACACTGTCCTGAGAGGAGGTCTAATTAGGCAGCATAGATTAAAACACCAGTATAGATGTATAAGTCTGGTGTGCTGCAAAATGTTTTAACATCATTCTTAGACATCGGATATACTGAAAACAAGAAAAATACCACTCATAATATTCAGTAATAGTGGTAGCAGTAATCACGGCGGGACTAGCAGTAACAGGGGTTATAGATGTAGTTGCTATAGTAATATAAGTAGTAGTATAATGAAAAATCCAACTCTCACCTTCAAAGCCAACCCTCTCCAGCAGGTTCAGTGGATACCACATGAGGGGCTTGTTGCCAACAGGCAGCATAGGTTTGGGGGTGTTGTATGTGAGATCAGTCATACGAGAACCCCCGCCAGCCGCCATCAGCACCGCCTGGAGCTCCATGATATCTGCTGGGGACGGCTAATAGAGTGGGACACACAGACAGATTAAGAGGGTTAGATTCATGAGTGTGGAGAGGAGCTGTAAAGGGACATAAGGTTACATTATCTGCATATATGGTTTGTAATTATATGCCAGTTTTGATGTAGTGTGGAAGCTCTGACGACATTTATATCAGAGGTAAACACTACTGGTAATAACTTGAATGACACTCAGTATGAGCCCATGCTAAATGATACAATGTGTGTCCATTTCACTTCTCTGTGCTGAACAAAAGATCTGAATGACTATAATTAAAAGGATAGGTTCACAGTTTCTCAAGTCTGCCATAAAAAAACAATCAGGTGCCCACACAAACAATGAAACAGGTTTTGCTTGGTGTTATCATTCTGGCCATTAAAAGATCCCTTCCTCTTGTGCTTTCGATGAAAGTGATGGGGGACAAAATTCTGCTAATATGAGGCTTCAACTGTACAAGTCGGGTGTGTCTCTTCCGAAATGAGTCATTATGAAATTCTCTCTTTGTGTCACCATCCCTCCACTAACGATAAACAAGAAATTCTGTCCAGAAAAGAGGGAATTTAACACTAAAAAGACTCTGGAAGACAACCCCTTCATTTGCATTGGCAGCGCTCAAGGACAGGATCTTTTGATAGTCAGTATGAACAGAGGGTTTACAAAACAGCAAACAGAGTCTTTCAATGTTCATATGAGCAGCTGACTATTGTTTTAAGTCTGACTTGAAAAATAGTGAACCTATCCTTTAAGTATTTTATGAGTAAGTATAAAATATTTGAAGTATTTTGACTGATTTGGGTGACAAAATTATTTCTGTACTTTCTCAGATTTTGACATTTAGTACCCCAACTTACTTTTTCTCTTTGTGGCACCATTTCATTTTTACCTACTACACTAAATACACTTAAATGTGCAATTTTTACATTTGTTTCAATCATACATTGTATGATGTCAATACAGCATGTGCTTATGACAACACATTTCAACGCAGTGCTGCTACCTACAAAGTAACACAGTGTCGCTGCATGTACTCTGTGACAGATTACATTGAGCAGGTGAGACGCACAGACTCACATCAGACTCTGCAAGCGAGCTCATTTTTGCATAAGTGGCACTTAAGGATGAGCCCTTTCGCATTTCTTTGCATGTTGAAGTTTGGCATGTCATCAACACAGTAACGACGGCTGACGCTTATCTGATACAATAAGCTGTGTACTGGCATATGGTCGAGGCATACTGCTAACAGAACCCACAACATGGCATCAACAATAAGGTAAATCCATCACGCTGACTCACTCAATGGTTGAAAAAGGAGTGTAAATTTACCTGTCAGAGTCTCCTTGGTCCCTGTCGTTCGGTGCCACTGAAAATGACAGCGGTGGCAGACGCATGTAACTTAGTTGCTGTCACTGTTGTTAGCACTTGGCTAACGATTAGACCAGAGCAGCAAACGATACCGCTGCGTCGGCGACAGCTCAACGGCGGCCGGACACGTTCCTTGAAAAGCAAACACCCACTGAGAAAAGCGGCAGTGACAGGAGTTAAATTACTTGCCGGACTGGTTAATAGAGCTTATGTGCAAGAAGCTAACAGCTAGCATCGTATGATGACACCTGTGTGCTTTCACTGAAATACGTCCGTGTGGAAAACGACTTCCTCCGTAATGTCGTTCCTACGGCGGAGAAGGGAAGTGGAGAAAACAGCCACAGGTAGGTGAATGGAAATAACATCACATTGTTTATACAGGTTCATGGTGATTACTTGCATTTGAAAGTACAGTACGAATTCATGCAGTGGAACTTTACACAAAATAAAGAAACCGAATATTAGGGCAACACTAAAGAAAACAACGTAATCCACGGTATATGGTGTAAACCACGAGGAGCTCTCATGTAGGATTTCGCAAAAAAGGAAAAAAATTAAGTAAAATGAAAAAATAGAAATAAAACGTCATTTTGAAAACTGCACTAACAACTAAAATACTTCTTGTAAAAATAATTTCTTGCAACAGTCATCTATAAATATTACTCAGTTTTTATAGTCACTCCCATGAAGTTATCTTTTTCATTTTTTCATATTGATCAGGGAGAAAAAGAGAGAAGGTCAGAATTGAACACAGTAGAAACAAAAGCAAAACATTCTACAGCATGCTCACTTCCCTGATCATCCCTGCTGACAAAAAAGTATTTAATATTTGTTTTACAGTACATGATATTCAAGTACCTTGAACACCATTAGCTCACTTGAAAATTTTGTCTTGCTGGTGACTGACAGCTGAGAACTTGCAAGATTCATAGAATAAAATACCTAAATTGTGTGGTATAGATATTTAAATCAATTGCTAAAACCTACCATACAAGCTCACATGAAATACAATGTTTATGAAATCACAATATAATGTAAAATCTGGATGGCAGCCAGACCAGCAATCACCAACCCATGGATAATATTACCATAATTATGGCCACCATTACCATCATTACCATGCATTAATAATTGTATGGAAGGCTCATCATCAGATGAAACACGAGCATTTAAAAGTTTGATGATGTTAGAGATTAAAAATAGTTTGTCACCCTGTTCCCTCTGTCCAGAGGGGAGAAGGTCACACTCACATAGAGAATGTAGAGTACACTTCAGGCTGATTAGACCCTTTAAAAAATGCTCTGTTATGGAATATATTAGACAAATCAGGTAGTTTAACATGAATAATCTTACTAGCCACTGTAACCATGTGTGGTAGCATGTTTCATCACCAAATAACACTAAACCACAATACCATAATTACCATAATAGAAATGTGAATGATTGAAAAGAGTTTCATGAGTTTTTGTTGTTGCTGATAAAAATGTTTTTCTTTTTTTTTTTTTTGCATGACTTTTGCCTGACAGTTTTGGACTTTTTTTGTTAGTTTCTCTCTGCAACTAAATGACAACCTTAGGAGCCTTAAATACACATGCATTTTCCTTTGACCAGAAGTAATTCCAAGCGTTCACACACACACAAAAAGTGGTGTGAACAGATTAGCGGCCAGAAGCCACCCAGCTACTCCTCCAGACTTCAAGCTTGAAAACTCCCAATTCACAGAGCTGAGACGTAACAGCAAATTGAGCTCGGGGAATGTGGCTTTGGTTTTGTTTGCTCTGGCCAGGAGATGAGCTTGACTGCTCGTTGGTGCTTGCTCGAAACTAAAAGAGCGAGAAAAAGGAGGGAAGGAGGAGGAGAGAGAAAAAAAAAGAGAGAAAGAGACAAACAAGCGGGAAGCCTGGCAGGTTGAAATGTTGAAGGACGAAGAGGGAGGAAATGAAAATATATGTTAGAGAGACAGGTTCCGGGAAAAAAGGTCTTTAAATAATGGGTAGAAAGGAACAGAGGTGAGAAAGAAGAGTGATAGCCAGTAGAGGAGTGATTGAAGAGTAGCGAAAAAGAAAGAAGGGAAAAAACATGACAGAGACAGATGTTCTTACATACAGGCAGAGAAAGTGAGTGATGACTTCTTGTAAGATGAAACAGCGGACAAGCTTCATGCTCACTTCCTTCACTTTTTGGTCATCCTCGTGTGAAAGCTGATGCTGTTACTTTGAGAGAGTTCATATTAAACATATACTCAACTTCAGTTCTTTCTTATAGCTCAATATGCTTGAACAGGGGAAGTAGAAATAACAGCCCCATAGAGATACAGTGCATTCAGAAAGTGGACTGACCCCTTCAATTTTTTCACTTTTTTTTTTGTTGCAAATTTATTAAAAAGAAAAAACTGAAATATCACATCATATCAGCATTCACACCCTTTAATATGACTCTTGAAATTCAGCTCAGCCGCCTCATTTTTGAGTCCTCCTATTGGTAAATTCAGTTGATTGGACATGATTTGGAAAGGCACACACCTGTCTGCACGTACACGTTCTCACATCAGACAGTGTATAACCAAGCCATGAGGTGGAAGGAACTGCCTGCAGAGCTCAGAGACAGGATTGTGTTTTGACGCACAGGTCTGGGGAAGGCTACAAAAAAAAAAAAAAGAAATCTGCTGCACTGAAAGTTCCCAAGAGCAAGAGCACAGTGGTCTCCATAACTCTTAAATGGAAGGAGTTTGGAGGAGGAGGAAACCAGACATGACACTTAGAATTGGTTGTCCCTCTGGAAGTTTCTCCCATCTCCATTGACTTGTGGATCATCAGCCGGCTTACAGAGTTACTATTTTGGACGCTGAAAATTGTGTACCCACAAAAACTAGATGAAATAATTTACTGTAACTGACAAATATATGGTGTATTTAAAAATGAATGAACTCGCAGTAAATTATATTACTTCCATGTAACAGGTTATAGTTTCCAATACGGTCATGCCACAAAAGGCCCTTTATGTTCCTCTGTCTCCCGTCTCCACCCTGCCAGTTTATAAGGTGTTGTCAGTGTGACGGTGGCATCCCTCTCTCTTCATAAAAAGGGGGATCTGGCAAAAAGAAAGCGAAGCTGCAATAAAAGTCAACCTAAACCGCTGACACTCACAAGAGATTACTGCTTGGCTGGTTTACCACAGAGCACTGATGTGTGTGAGACATTCCACATAACTAAACAGGGAGAACTTTGCTGCAGTTTACTCGTGTCACTGAAAGCTCACATGACAAGATGCAAACCTGTCTGTGAGTTGCACAAAAGGCTGACTACGGACCATTGTGTCTTTATCCCCCCCAGTCTGATAGACAATGATTTTACATCATCTTGTTCTTCATATGGCACGTTCGTTATGAGAGGGAGAGAGTGAGTGGAGTGTGTGCGTGATGGACAGGGACAGATTGCTATCAAGGTTTCCCTTCTCCCTTTTCTGTGGGAAATTAGGAGAGCAGAAAAAAAAGAGCTGAGAATGAGGGTGAGAGACTTCACAGGCAATTGAAAATCCACTGATCCCTTGTATTTTGCATATCGTCAAAGCCCGGCTAATTTGTCAAATAAAGACATCCGTCTAAAAGGATAGGTGGGTTGTGGGGGGAGTGGCGAATGAAAAAAAGATACAAACACAGAATACTAACAGCTCTAAGAGAGAACCAGATGGAGATAGACATGCGAACAGACGTGGAGACAAGTGTGCAGGTCTAGTCACAGAATGACTTGAAACGGAGCCATAAGATTTCCTCTGATTTCCTCCTCCCTCCTTGGCCCTGTTGCTGCATCTTGTAAATCATTCTCAATTCACTGAAACAAGCCAGTTGGATTAGCTCGGTTTAGATCATAAACATTTGCAGCGCAGACCACCCAGGGAGAGAGCAGAGCCAAGGCGCGCGCGTGTGTGTGTGTGTGTACTTGTGTGTGTGTGTCTGTGTGTCTGTGTGAGAGCGAGCGTGCCTGCATGGGTGTGTATGTATGCGTGAAGCCTCCCTTTGAGTTTAGAGGTGGGCACTGCAACACATACACACCACAGACATACACACATTCACATACACTTATTCTGTGGTTTTGAGTTTGCGCCACTTCCAGGGCCAGTGCACTGTGGGGCCCTCACCGCTGCCGTGGAAACCAAAACAGGCCCGTCTGAGATTAACACACTCATACACGCACAAGCCACAGACAAAGTTGTCTCACTGCACTGATGCTAAACAATGCTGCTGATATTCAAGTTACTGTACAAACGCATTCCTTTTCAGACGTTCATTCATTCTTTCATTCATTAAATTATCAGCTGATTGGCTGATTGATATATGTTTTTAACTGCAGTGAATGGGCTTAGATTTGTTGTTGACTGAGATTCAAAACTATGCTTTTCTTATGTAAGATTTTATAAGATTCGCGTCATTGTCTTATTGGAGCAAAACGCCAAAACAGAGTATATTTGTTCACCAGCACTTCTCGAAAACAGCTGCAAAACGTTAAGTGTCATCGACCCAGACAACTGCTGTGAAGCATGTTTTCCAGGAACTTTAACAAATAAATGCATTTCTTTGCTCTGTAAAGTTCAACAGTCTGCAACACAAGACATTAAAATTCATTCGTTTTCACTTGCACACAGTTGGAGTAATTCTTCTCTTGTTTCTCTCCACACGCAGGACGGATGTGGGAGCCAAGTTGGTGTCAGAACCAGGTAATATCCGGGCTGGGTTTTGAAGAGCCAGAGTGGGAAAAGCTGGGCAACACCCTACCGCAAGGCGCTGGCACTTTTCTCTGTAAGCTGCTTGTCTCTCTGACTGAGGGTCTTGTCTAACACTTCTAACTGTGCATGTTGTCCATTCACCTGTCTGTCCAGTCTTGGCATTGATTTGTATGTCATATGACTACGTGTTGTATTGGTCTGAAAGACTATTCATGGTTTCTGAGAATTACATTTGAAATAAATGGGGACCGTTTATATTTGAGGACCTCACATTTATGTTTTCAACTGCAGGTTTTCTGAATGGAACGAGGACAAGCTCTTGTCAAAGAGAGCAGCAGCGGCGAGCTCAAAAGGTAGGTCAGGTGTTAGTAATGGTATATTTGCATTCTGTGTTTTATTCAAACAAGGAAGTTGTTGATATAGGTGCTGCAAACGGGTGGGTTGTCTTATGATCAAATTTGTATGGGCTTCTCAGGAGTGTGTGTGTGATGAAGAGGTGACTGGTGATGCGTTACGGATACTGTATACTAATTCACAGGTATTTTAAGATGGCGGCAGAGACGGACAAATATGGAATAACACGAGAAAGAATATATGGATGGAGCACAGCAAGAAAAGACAGGAAAGGAAAGCAAAGAAAGATAAAAGTGAGAGAAAGAAATCCCAGCTTAGCTTGACCACACGGTTTCAACAGCAGCTTCCCTGTCTTCTCTGTGTATGTGTGTGCGTGCGTGTGTGTGTGCGTGCGTGTGTGTGTGTGTGTGTGTGTGAGTGAGTCTATGTCTGTGTGTGTCTTTCTGTGGCCACATTATGTCTGACGGACTGTCCAATGTCTGGGAGGTCCCTCAACCACACAGGGCAAACATGCACTGACACACAGACACGCAGAGGCACACACACACATGGACATGCATAGACACACACACACACACACACACACACACACACACACACACACACACACACACACACGCACGCTCAGGCTTTGTACATATTGATAAATGGATCAATAAGATTGTTACTCTGCTAAATTGTGTCTTTCCTCATTCTGTGTTACCAAGAACTTCTACTTTTGATTGATTTTTGCTGCGGAATTTTGTTTAGATAAAATTATGATTATATTTGGTCTGAAAAAAAACACAATATAATTTTCTAGGCTGTAACCATAATGCGTAATAACTGAAAAATGCAACAAACTTGATCATAAATTCAAACACTAAATGGAAAAGAAATCTAGACTCCCAAATGCTATCTCTTCTTCTGTAATACCAAAGTCCTAAAAGGCCTAAAGCGCAAATTTAAGATACTAATCGCTCCCCTCATCTTTTGAAATGTTTCATGGGTAAGCAATGACTCAGCAATGGGTTTAGCTCTTTTTTTTATATAAACCTGTCCCGTTTTATGGACAACACACCCAAAATATTTGGTCATGTTTGATCTCTTTCTATCTGGTGGCCTACATGTGTAGTTAAACTTTCCTTCTCTTTCAGCAAAAACACTGTGAACGCACATGCACAAACACAGACACACACACGAATGCAAGCATGTACGCGCACACACACACACGCACCAAAAAAAAATCCTCTTTTCAACCGAAATAAATGTTTATAGCATTCCAAACATTTTGTGTGTGAGACAGTATGTGTGGTCCTGTCTGCACCTAGCTTGAGGTTTGAGGTTAAGGTGTTTGTCTGCTGGTGTGTGAGCTGCAGTGTGTGTGTGCATGTCAGTGATGTCTGTGTGTGAGCGTGTGTGTGCAGAGAGAGAGAGAACACCCATGCTTGCTTATAAAATGTTTGTGTCTTTTAAAAAGAGAGAACGAGATAAAGAATTTAAAAAACAGATCATGCCTGGGGTAATTTATTGGATTCAAACTGTTTAGGAACACTATGACATAGTGCTTAATACAGGTACAAATGCCGAGGACAGATAACCCAGTAGGCTGATGAAGTTTGGTCGAGCAGGGTGTGATAAATCTAGTGAAATAAAATCTAAAGGAAAAAAGAAAATCATGCAAAGACAAAAGATGTGAACAAAACTATACGGTTACAAAAGTAGAATAGAAAAAAGCCACAATACTTCAAACTACCCAATGCTTCCATAAATTATGATAAAGAAGAAATTTGTATTCTAAACCTGTTTGCGTAAGGGTTATACTACCTATATACTCATATGTGAAATGGATTGCTTTAATGATGCCTGAGGCCAAACATCACAAAAATTTAAATGCTGTATGGAATTTGGGCAATACTTGTACATCCTGTATGTGCCAAGTTTTAAAATATTCTGGCCTTCAGCAACTGTGTTTTGATATCTTTCAGTGATGGGAGTCTAGACATGCCGAATTCGATGATCGGATCAAAGGTTTCTCGGAACCTGCTGAAGAAGGCCACGGATACAGCCAAACACTTTGCAGTGCCAAAGTAAGTCAACCTTTTATAATGTTTTTGGTCACAGTGTGGTTCATTTTGTGGTAAACACATACGCAACGTCCTGCTGTCGTAAATAGTCACACCACAGCACACCACATACATATTAGTCTGACACTTAAAATAGTTCCCAAGAAATTAAGAGTCTCATAAAAATGCATGTAAATTGTGGTATTATTAATACACTAACACCACTTTCCTTACCTGATACTTTATGAGAGATGGGTATCATATTTGTATCGGTCCTTTACTGCCCTATGTTTGACTCATGTTCAATAGTGTGTTTTTAGGACAATACAGTAAATATGTACTATATATGATAATATGCGTTTAATTATATTATTGATTGGAAAAAGGTGCAGAGGAGTTTGCAGTGTTTTTACAGTGGGTAGCGTCTGTCGGTCTTCCTCTCAGGCTTCAGGTATATCCTCCAATAATCAGAGGGCCTGTGAAGCAAAACACAGGGATAAAGAAAAAAGTCAGTAGATCAGTCTTTGTTCCTTGTAAAGCTGATCACACGGGAGTACTTGAAAGCAACCGATGAACACATCAAAATGTATCACCTCCTCTTTCCTGTTCTCTGAGCTTTGGCAGCAGATTTTGAAAACTGCGGGAGATGTACAGTATGAAGCGCAGATGAATGTGTTTGTCTGAGTATATGAGCAATGGACTAACAAGTCCATGGTGTAGTGGTCATCTCACCCAGTGCACTCTGGGTGATGGTGTATTCCCCATCAATTTTTATCTAACATGCTGAAACTGAATCAATAAATATGTTAAATACATTTACAGCATGCATGAACCCAAAGAATAAGGCACTGACCGAGTCTTTTTTTTTGTTGTTGCATATAACACGGACTCATGCCGTAAAACAATAATAACCCAGCCTCAATAACAGTAAAGCCATTCAGTAACAAATAGCACACCATGCCTTTTTAGTGTTTTACAAATCTCTGTGTTATTTCCCCAAAGGACTGTAATGCCAGGCACTATAAAATACGTGGAAACTGTTGTTTGCATTTAGAGACTATTATTCACGTAAATAGCACAACACACACACACACGGGCATTTTAACACAGGACGCACAAATGATGGTACAAATGATATACCACCAGTACCACTCTGATTTCCTTGTTTTTTCCAAATATTTTTTATTGAGCCAATTTCATGCAAGAATTATAAAATTACATCCGCGTACATTCACAGAAGTAAAACAAAATAAAGAAATAAATCAGAAATAAAATGAAAAGCAACATAAAGTATCTCCTCATTTACTCTTCCTTATCCTCTTTAACCACTCCTGCGGCCCATGTCTCATTTACTCATTAAATAAAATGAAACAGACTATAATTATAGGTAACAACTCACAAACTTCAGTGCTCAAGGTGTGATATGAGTTGTTGCCAAATCGTATTGTGGGAGTCTGCTCTTTGAGACGTACAGTACGTCATCCTTTCCAATGTAATGTACTGGTTAGATTATCCACATTTTGGAGGTAGGAACCACTGTTTCTTTCCATGACAGTAGTATATGTGACATTCATTTTGCTGTAATGAGGCAGTAAGAGAGGATTTGTTGTTGAGTTGTGGTGAGTCTTCTTAATGCTTCAGATACTTCTAGAATAATTAGTTCTGGTTCCAGTGGAGTATTAATAATCCCTGAAATGCTGTGGAAGATATCAGACCAAAAAGATGCAACTTTGGCGCATAATATGAAGCCATGAGAAAGTGGTGTCTCTTTCTACTTTGGAGTAATGGAATCAATGTAGTATTTTAAATGGTATTAGACAGTGTCCTGCATTGTTTGAGCGTTTATGTATGTGTTCAAGACTTGACACCTGATTTCCTGCTGTTTTGTAATAGCAGGTTTGCTTTATGCTATGAGTTACTTTGGCTAATATTAAAGTGTTCATCTTCAGAATTTCAGCATTGTCCAGTGTCAATGCCTGTAGAGAACTGTATTTATAAGTGTCTTTCACCTTATATTCATCTGTGGCCGAAGGACGTGTGATTCTAAATCCTCTCTGTTTTTAACCTTGCATAGCTCTATGGATGGCAATGTCGGCCAGTCTGTCAGTTGGTTCAGACTGAGATATATATACCCCTCTGACTTTTTCTCTAGCATCATGATCATCATGTTGAAATTACAGTTTGTCCAATACATGTTTCTGACCACATACCTGTGAAACTGATGACATTATCATCAGCCTCAGTTGTTCTTTGTGGTTGATGCCCATTAGCAAATGTTAGCATGCTAACACGCTAAAGTAGCAAACATGGCAAACATTGTACAGTATGTACTCTACATCAACATATTAGGATTGTCGCTGCGAGCATCTTACAATGCTGACGTTCACATTTAGCTCAAAGCACTTCCGCACTGTATGTGAGTAAATGTGTGTGTCTTAAACAGAGTGAGAGATGGGAGGAAAGAACAACAGCTTAAAGAGTTCTGGTTTCTTGTGAAAAATACTGTCATTTTGTGAAGGAGGCTGACTATCATTTCAAGGGGTTCTGTATCAAAAAGAAGATGGGTGCACATACACACACATACACACACACACACACACACACACACACACACACACACACACACACACACATGCAGATGAATGTGTTTGCTCCAGATGTTGAGAGTATTTTGTTTCAGGGAAGGTAGTGCAGCCTCACATCGGAGAGATAATAAATCACAACCCCTGGACAGCAGTGAAGACACTTTTAGAGGCCTTCATAAACCCACCGCATTCACTTTGTTCACATATGGCAGTATTCACAGATGCTGTTTGGAATGACATTCGTATACAGAGGGTAGTCGGACAGTAGTAGTACACAGGGCCAATTAATTTCAAAGCTACTCGTCAAATTTTATATTCTGCTCCGGAGGAGAGTATGAAACGGAAATGTTGCGCTACATAAAATAAAAG